ATGCCACCGTCTGATGTGTGAGGCATCAGTGCACACTCAGAACGCTGCATCAGGACTCAAAAGATTTATTTCCTCTTGATGCGTCCGAGATGCTGCACGAGGCAGACGCCCCGAGAGCCAATCCAGTACCAGGATTAATGCCACCTGCCTCCCGGCGTCTCCTAGACTTTGTGTGAGGAGCTGTGCTCCCGATAAAGGAGGGAATGAAGACTCTCACACTGAGTTTAAAGAATAAAGAAAGATTCTCTTCATCACAGTGAAGGTTGCCTCCTGTAACTCAGGTACTCATCACTAATCTGCATCAGCCTGCAGACCAATCCTAATATTCTGGATTATTGTAATCTGTTAGCAGCCTAACTGCTCTCTGATGTCACGTTGTCACGCGAGGGCCCGGGCTCTCAGCTCTGCTGTCAGTCTCCGTGACATCACGGCGCTCTCGGCGTAGGAGGTGGTGAAGACTGTGACATCGTTCCAGTGTTAATCACTGTACACACATCATCAGATGTGCTGAGTAATCAGATTACAGCTGAGCGGCAGCTCCTGGAGGTGTTGAAGCTCCTCGCGTACATCAAAGTCCTCTTTAAATCCCGTTTACAGGTGTGTTTACCTCACAGAAATGCCACCATCCTGCTGGGCGGACCGTCAGCCGTGGCGCGCCTCAGCGCTCCGCCCCACAGCACCGTGCTGCACTGTTATTGGTGAGTAATAAACCGACGGCATCGATAAGTCTGGACGCTGACGTTCAAAGCGGGTTCTGCTGGACGCCGTCTGGTCACGTGACAGCGGCTGTGACTGCGCGCATCACGTGCCCTTCAGTCTAACAGCTCGTGGCTGTCGGACGTCTGTTTGAAGCCCGAGCGATATTTCTGCTCATCAGCTTGTTCACCCGGGGATTCATCAGCTGGCAGCCAGCTGACACGGACACGTGTACATTCCGTGAGGTACAGGTGGGCTGTGACCGTTAACCTCCTTTCACTGACGTAACGAGCCCCGGGGCTCGGACAGCTTCCGGTAAAGCTGCTCCGTTAAAGCCGCGGACTTACCTGCTCGTTCAGCTTGTTCAGGTTCTGGAAGTCGGTGCCGACAGAGTCCGGTAAAACGTCTTTAGTGAAGTGAAGCTGCATCGTTTCTGTCGGCTGACCGTCCCCAAAACAAACACAGCCCGCTGCGGAGCGCAGTTCCGGGTTATGGATGAGCGCATGCGCACAAGTGTCTGCCAGACAGGTCAAGAAGAAGAATGAAAGATCAAACCTCACGAAAGCTTTTCCTTTAGTTTGACGGAGATTTATTTTTGTTCTTGTAAGACGAACTTTTAGAAGTTTGTAGCAAAAAAGCTGAAAGTTTTTGTTCCCTTTAAAATCACTTTGAATGTTCTCACCACGAGTTTAATTATTTTGATTATTATGCATGCGGATATAAAGCATGTGGAACATTAATTTCAATTTTATTTTATTTGTATAGCCTCCTGAAGCAACAACAAGGCGCTTAATTACATTGTTTAGTAAAATTTGTTTAAATGTTTAGTCATTAATATCAAGTCAAAAACGTTATTATTTTCAAATACATAAAAACGTATTCAGGAACATTAGACATGTATTCATGTTATGTATTCAATGGGCTACGGTCTCTTATGCTATTTTACATTAGCAAATAATGCGACATTCATGTAATAATAATAATAAATGTTATTTATAGGCACCCATTAAAATGCTTGAGGTCTCCTTACATTTGTACAGCGAATTAAAATCATATACACAAATAAATCAGAATAAAATGAACACATAAAAGCACAAAATGACTGAAACAGTTGTGATCAGGTGGGTTTTGTGATGTCACTGAAAACGACTTTAATTTTTGGAGAATTCAAAGCATCTATAAATACCAGATGTTCAGAAAACAGCTCACATCTGCATCATGCTGATACGGTGCAAAATGTCAGTCACGAGCCAATGAGCATGCCCCGATGATCTTCCTTCTTGGCACAAATATGGTCAAAACGCATTAAATGAACTTGATGTTTCACTCAGAGCGACCTGAAAAAATCTCTGAGCTCATGAACTCATCAGCAAAGTGCTCGTAGGGGTCAGGCGCACGATCTGATATCCTCGTGTCGGTGTTGTTCCCAGATCATCATTAAAATGTTGTTCCAGGATCAACATTGCAAGTGACCAATCAGAATGTGGTGACGTCATACTTTTGCGACTTCGGGAAAAACTGCAGTAAAACAAAAAACTGTCTTAAGCTGCGAGAAACCGCCTCTGTCTGCCGATCAACGGACCCCGACCCTTTAATAAACACTAAGCAGAACTGATATTGTCCTTGCAACATTGGAATTTCATAAATGCATGAATGGCTTGGCGCGCCAAAGAATAACGTCACAACAATGTGATTGGTCACTTGCAATGTTGAACCTGGAACAACATTTTCATGATGATCTGGGAACAACACCGACACGACGATATCAGATCATCCAGGGGTCAGGCCGAGGGTCGTTTTCTCATCCACTTCAGAAGGACCCAGGTCTTTTTGTAACTGCAGCTGTCGCCCCCTGTTGGCAAGTCCGGGCAGCTTCTACGGGCTTTGATTTTCAGGCCTTCAATTCCAAAAAACTCTGGATGCACTTCAGAAGGACTCGAGTGACTTTGTTCTTTTACGTGGCCGAAATCTCCCCTGTGGTCCAAATGAACAGCAAACCTTGTGCTGCTGGAAATCATGAAAAACCTGTTTTCCTTTGGAGGTGATGCTTCTGGAGGTCAATGATCCCAATAACAATGATTATGAGATGGTAATACGATCGTTCCTAATGAAACTGTCCACAGCCCAGCGAGCCCTCTCAGGTCATCAGCTTCAGATCTTTGAACTGTTCCCAGAAACAGATCCAAGCTGGAGCTGCTTTCAGTTTCTGCCTTTTGATGATCGATTTATCGATTAAAGTCGATTCTGGCTTGGATAACGTGAAATTGATTCATTAAAATCCTGAATCGATTTTTTAATATAAATTTATTTTGCCCAAAACGCCAGAATCTCAGGTTAAAGCTTCAGGTTAAAACAAAATTTCAACAACCACCAAACAGCTGAAGCAGTAAATGAGAGCAGGAACACGGTCTCTGCACAAAGACGTAAACACGAAGCGCCGACCCGACGCGTCAGAATCAGCGAGATGTCGCCTTTCTCACCCGACGGCACGTACGCGGTCACGCTGTCGGGGCTGAAAGCCGACAGCTCGCTGATTTTGAAGTGTCGCTTTGTGTTTACGTCCTTTTTGCGCTGATTCTGAAGCTGCAGGTTTTTCTCTCTCAAACAATATTGACCGAACCAGCAGCCAAAGACGATCCAAACTACGCTTCACATGAACATCGTCATGAATTTCCTCTGACTTTGGCTGTTTTGCTTCCACCACGATCACACTCATGCACAGCTCTCTCTCTCTCTAAATCGATAATCAGAGCCCACCCTTATTGCCCACCATCTACACTGTCGGCCGCTGTTGGATTTTTTTGTTTTTTACTTACTTCCGACAGAAAGCCTCATTTCTGCTGTTCGATACTGAACAAATTGAAACTTTTTACATTTTGCAAAACTGCAAAACGCTGAGCTTTGTCTCTAATCAAACCTCTGTAACTTTGCTCTGCTTCACTTCGTTTTTGACAATATTTTTAAGGTCATCTGCTATAAAAACACAGACCAGGAAAATCACCTTCATGTTTTTCTGTTTCATCCTCAGTTACTTTGACACAAAGGCGTCTGCTGTGCTGCTCACACCTTTGATTAAGTCTGGCAAGTGTCAGCTTCCTTTTTATAGATAGAAAAATATAGATATGTACTGATAAGCAGTGTTGGTCAAGTTACTTGAAAAAAGTAATCAGTAACTAATTACTGATTACTTCCCCCAAAAAGTAATCCTGTTACTTTACTGATTACTTATTTTCAAAAGCAATTAGTTACTTAGTTACTTAGTTACTTTTTAACAAAACGATTTACAACCTGAAGAGGTGATAAAGCGATAGATCTTTGAGCTCAATTCTATTATTTCTGCATAATCCATCATACAAAATGTAATCAAATGGAAAAGTCTCTTTTTAAAACTTGTTTTATTAGTTTTAAGCTTTTAACTTTACGCATGAAGCAAACATTAACATTCTCTGACTGGAAGAAATTTGTTTAACATTTAAGATAAGATGACCTTTATTAATCCCACAGGTGGGAAATTTGTTTCGTTACAGCAAAAGTACAAAGTTATGTAGCAGAAATTAGAAGACACTGGAATGGAATAAAATAAAATACTATATACAATAGAATAAAATAGAATACAAATGCTATATACAACAGAGTAAGAAAACACAAAAGTACAACTTTGTCAGAAAAAGATTATTGCACTTAGTGTTATTGCACATGTATGGATGTGTGTGCTTGATCAGTTGGAGTCTTTATTATGGAGTCTGACAGCAGTGGGGAGGAAAGACCTGCGAAATCTCTCCGTCCCACACCGTGGGTGCCGCAGTCTCCCACTGAAGGAGCTGCTCAGTGCTGTCACAGTCTGCTGCATGGGGTGGGAGATGTTGTCCATCAGGGATGACAGCTTAGCCGCCGTTCTCCTGTCACTCACCACCTCCACTGGGTCCAGAGGGCATCCTAGAACAGAGCTGGCCCTGCGGATCAGCCTGTTCAGTCTCTTCCTGTCCCCAGCAGAGATGCTGCCGCCCCAGCAGACCACACCATAAAAGATAGCAGAAGCCACCACAGAGTCATAGAATTTCTTCAGGAGTGGGCCCTCCACTCCAAACGACCTGAGTCTCTGCAGCAGGTACAGCCTGCTCTGCCCTTTCCTGTAGAGGGCGTCTGAATTATGAGTCCAGTCCAGTCTGTTGTTCAGATGAACACCAAGCTACCTGTAGCTGTCCACAGCCTCAATGTCCATACCTTGGATGTTCAGTGGTTGCAGTGGAAGCTGAGCCAGGACCAGCCGCTCCAGGGTCTTCATCAGGTGGGATGTCAGAGCCACCGGCCTGCCTGTGAAGGGTCTGAGGTGTCAGAGGTGGAACAGCAGCAGTGGGGGTGGGTGAGTCTGCAGCCGATGTTGCAGACTGCCTCATGGCTGAGTCAAATCTGTTGAAGAAATGATTCAGTTCATTTGCCCATCTCACATCCCTCCCAGGCAGAGAGTTCTGCTGTTTGTGGCCCGAGATGGTTCTGAGGCCTCTCCAGACTTCACCAACGTTGTTTTGTTGAAGCTGGTTCTCCATCTTCTGCCTGTAGCTCTCCTTCCCATTCCTTATCAGTCCCCTCAGCTCTCTCTGCACCTTTTTCAACTCCTCTTTGTCTCTGGATTTGAAGGCCCTCCTCTTCTGCTTGAGGACAGCTTTAATTTCTGGGGTAATCCAAGGTTTGTTGTTGGAGAAACACCGCACAGTCCTGGTAGGTACAGTGTTATCCACACAGAAATTAATATAGTCAGTAATGCATGTCACCAGGCTGTCGATTTCCTCACCGTGGTCATCACAGATCACCTCCCACACAGTCGACTCAAAACAATCCTTAAGAGCCTCCGCGCTCTCCTCTGACCATCTCTGTACTGTGCGGGTGGCTGGTGGCTCCCTGCGCACTAAGGGCTCATACACAGGGACAAGGTGCACCAGGTTGTGGTCAGATCTGCCCAGGGGAGGGAGAGGTGATGAGCTGTATGCCTCTTCTGCATTGGCATACAGTAAGTCCAGTGTTTTATTGACTCTGGTTGGGCAGGTCACATACTGGGGGAAGGTGGGCAGTGTGCAGTCCAGTGAGGCATGATTAAAGTCCCCTGATATTATGAGAAGGGCTCTCGGAGATTGTGTTTGCAGTCTGCTGACCACAGAGTGGAGAGAGTCACAGGCTGCATCTGTGTTGGCCGAGGTGGGGGGGCATACGCTGTTATTGCGAAAACATGCGAGAACTCCCGGGGCAGGTAGTACGGACGCATGCTAACGGCTAACAGCTCAATGTCTCTGCTGCAGAGTTGTTCTTTCACTTTGACGTGCCCGGGTTACACCATCTGTCGTTCACAAACACTGCCACTCCCCCTCCTTTCCTCTTACCGCTGTCTCTGGTCCTGTCCGCCCGCAGCAGCTGGAATCCCGGTGGCATCACGCTCGTGTCTGGTGTTAGCGGTGTTAACCATTTAAACCTATTTCCAGCATCCAAAATAAAATAGTTCTTTGTGTTTACACTCAGTCTTTCAAATAGATGCCAGTGAAACACAGCAGTGAATAAATAAAATCAAACACTAGCGGTCCTGTTGCTCTATTTTCACCTGTATAGCAGGAGTGGGGCAGGCGGAGGTTTACCCTGGTGCAGGTGAGCCGCAGTGGTCAGTGGAAGGATCCGGGAGTTTCTCATTCCCGTGGTAGCTACTCGGTGCTTGCTTGGAAGTTTAGGGGTTTTCTTCCCACGCACAGCGGACACTAATGTTTTTGTCACTTTTTATGGAATCAAAGTCAAAGTAAGGTCAGTACTTCCACGCTTTAAACGCTGCACGCTCATACTCTCTCTGCACTCGATATATGATCCATTGTTGATCTGCACACAGCTGTTGTCACGAACTTCGCACTCGCTTACGTCACTGTCGTGAGACATTCTTGCAAAAAAATCACGGTTTTAGTAACGCAGTAACGCAGCGTTCCTACAGGAAAGTAACGGTAATCTAATTACCGTTTTTGCAATAGTAATCCCTTATTTTACTCGTTACTTGAAAAAAGTAATCGAATTACAGTAACACGTTACTGCCCATCTCTGCTGATTCGAATCGTGGATCGAATCGATTCTAGAAATCAGTGAGGCCCAGCACTAATTCATGGCACATCTGGCTCGTCTTGTCCCGTCAGGGGGCAGTAAAGCCTGCGCTGTGGTGGAAACAGTGATGATGTTTTTTAATCTTTGAGCGATAGGCTGAGATCATGACAGAGAAAATCCATGAAACTCCTTGAAGATTGACTCAGTGCCACAGACAATGTGGTAAAGCGAGGCTGACTAAGAACACACTCTGAGAGAGAGAAGCGTGTCGGTAATTATTGTGGCTCAATAATAGTTCCTGCTCTCACTTTTACCTCGCGGACAGAAAATGGGAGTTAACCATTTCACCTGGGAAAGACCTGATCACTCCGAGCCACCAATCAGCTTCCACCTCCGCCTGCACCCCGCCCAAGAGAGAGAGGGAGCGAGAGAGCGAGAGAGAGCGAGAGCTGATGCGCAGCAGCATGCTTCCACATCGTGAACACCTCCTGCTGCCTGAGGATTAGAGCTCACACTCCAATCTGCGCTCAACTTCAGCGGCTGTGAAAACCTCGTTCGGACTCGGACTCGGCACCAGAGTGTTTCCTCCCAAGTTCCCGCTGTGCAAGAAGCAGACGCGTGCATGGTTATGTAAGTATTTTCCCGGGGAGGGCGCGGGGTGTTCGTCCCTCCAGGACTTACCGAGAGAGTTAGGAACGAGAAAGAATGCGACGTCGCCGGGCAGAGTGCGCCTCGCTGCAGCTCTGAGCTCCACATGTGCGCACAGCTGCGCGCACATGTGGAGCTGAGGGAGCAGAGCGCGATCTGAGGCTCTCCGAGGAGCTTCTCCGTGTCTGCGGCGGAACGTAACTCCGTTAAAACAGTTTTAGTTAGCGCGTAATACACGTGTAATAACAGCCTGGCTGTTCCGGTCAGTGAGTGCACAGCGGAGTGCGCGGGGACGGAAGGTCAGCGGGTTTTTCTTCTCTCGGTGGTTTGTGCGCTGTGAACGCGCGCACGGTGAGTTTACCTTCTGTGCGCCTGACAGTCCTGCTGTCATGGCAAGTATGAACACATGTGCGGCACACAAGTGAAAGTACTGATATGAGCACGCGAGGAGACTTTAAAGAGAAACGGCTGAGGGGAGAAATCTGCGGGGGGGTCACCGGCGGGGGCGCACGGAGCCCTCGTGCTCCAAAAACACACTAGCACGGAGCAAACATGGTGGACGTGTGTTAAAAATGTCCCAAACCAGGGGCGGATCTAGAAAAAGGTGGAAATCAATGCTGCTTCCTGTAATGTGTCATTCATGTGGTTAAAATACAGCAAGTACACACATGTTTCATATAAACACACTCTGTAATGTTCGGATTGGCTTCAGCCCACAAAATCAAACGTTACAGTTACACAAAACGTGAATTTAGATTTGATGCACTGTACGGCAAACACAACAAATAAGCATGTGGCCCAACGTGATCAGCTACAAACACAAGTCTAACTAAAGTCTCACACTGTTAATATTTTATTAGGAACAATCAAACTGTTTCATGCTTAAATTTACACAAAACGTCAGAAATCCGTCAAACCGAATTTTTCACGACGTATTGCGTTCACGCTCTGGGCTCCAGCTGTTTTCATAAACTGTTTGCCTCACTTTATTTGGGGTCAGTCTTTTCAGTTAATTTACAGTTTCTCTCGCACTGACACACTGTGCTGTCAGACAAAGGAAAAGTTACATTGTTACTGTAACAAACATATTTAATCCTTTTTATAACTTGAAATGCAAATAAAACTTGTACATTTTAAAAAACTTTTGCAAACAACAAAGTTATCAATCAGGTGTTCTGCATCAAATAAGATGCCACACATATTATTTGCGCCTCTCCAAAAAATAGTTTCTGTCCACTGTAAGAGCGAGGGGCACATCACAGCCTGATACCTGCAGGCCTGACAGCAGCAGGTGTCAGGCCTGCAGTGTCCACAGGTGTGGTGTCCACAGGTGTCCACCTGTTTCACACCTGCACACAGCGTTTACACTGCAGCCTGCCTTTGGTGGCAGCTGTAGAATTTTTGTGGTGGGTTGGGTACGACGTCTGTTCCTGAGATTACCAAGATTAGGAGGTTCCCATGACATCATCCACATCCTAAAGGTGAAAAAGTGTCTGAAACTGAAGGTTGAGAGTGGCCTGAGCTTCAGGCTCACAGGGATTACCCAGCATGCACTGAGCTCATTGCTAGAAACCGTGTTTAATATGAAGATCCATCATGGAACAGGAGGAATATGACTGGAAATGAGAAGAAGAAGAAGAGCAGGCCACCTTAGCTCGGCTCCATACAGAACTGCAGCGATTTGTTATATTTTAAGCAGATTTGATAAATGCGATCTCTGTGGTTTGAAATCAGTGTTCTCATAGTTCAAAATGAGTTTCACACTGAGACTGAGGTTCTGGGGAATTCTGACCTGCAGCTTCTTTGTGACTCAGCGTGGTCAGAAAAATGATAAGACAGTGACTCACTCTGCAAAGGGTTTATTCTGGATATCACATCATTTGTTTACAGATCATTCATAAATATGCAGTTAATAATTCCTCAAATATTTCCCCCAAAAACATCCAGCAAATTTAATCTGTTAATAAATGCCAGAAAACGAGAGCTGTTCAGTCTCTCTCACCTTAAACAAATAAACCTTTTACTTCCTTGTGTGAGCTGGAGTCGTACAAGAACCCAGCCAAGCAACATTTGCATAAGCACATCTGGCACATCTGGCAGTGGGACAGAAAACCTGCAGACAGACTTGATGTGTCATCTGAGGCATGGTGACTTTTATTTTCAACAAATGAAGTGTGAGCATAAACCATAGACTGTATACAAAAGATGGACGTGGTTGCCAAGGTGTCACCATCAGTTTGTGAACATTTTAGGCCGTCTGCGTTTTGGAGGCACAGGACGTGGTTAGCTTGGTGATCAGGCGGGAGTGTCACACAGATGCAGGCCACCCAGATTTTTCTGTGGAACTCCAAAGAATTCCATGTTTTTATAGAGCAAATAGAAAATATTCTCTAATCGTTTGAATTTACTTTTCCTTTTAATAACATTTTTTATGATAAAAAACGTGGATTTCTCTGCGTGCGGAAGTCGGCATCGGCAGACACAGAAGCCGCCACGAAATATCCCGAGACCTTCAGGAGAGTCCCGTCGTAAGATGATGCTGAAATGATATTTAAGTGTTTTAGGAAGCCCATCGGAGCGGGCACGCTCCCATTTGTGTAACTATTTTTAAATTCCAGTAGAATTACAAAGACGTAACCTAGCGCAATCATATTTGGTTTTTTGCTTATGAAACCAGAGGAGTCGTACTTGCATAACATGCGTTCAGCTTGTCCGCGGTCACAGTTTCCTTCCACAAATGGCTTCTTGCAAAAATCGGGTAAAAAGCGCTGGCAAGAACAAAAACATTATAATCCAGAAACATGCGATCAGTTATTCATAGCACTTCCTATGTTGGAATAAACGTCAGCGCGAACTATCGCACATTACCTGCAAAAACCAAAAGTGACGTCATTTTTCGTGGAAACGTAGTTTTTTCATTACAGGGCCTTAAAAGCTGGTTTCCTGTTTGACTTTGTGCCGCTCTGTGTAGTTCCTGAGACGCTCCGAACTCAAACTGCACTGTTGGAAATCATTTATTTTAATGCTGTTTTTTTGCAAATTGTGCACAATAATATTTATTTTCAATTTTCCTGCTCGTCAGCAATATTAAAATAAAATCCCAGAATTTCACCAACATGGAAAAACTTTGATCAAAATGCTCCAACAGTACAAACACAGTCCAGAGGTTCAGCTCATTGACTCCAGTTAACTGAGGTGAAGGCTAGCGCACAGCTAGCAGCTACAGCTCCCTGTGTCACCCTGCACGTGTCGGTGAGAGAAGCCACGCCCCCAACCATGCAAACTTGAATCCAGGTGAATTATAAAAACATGTGCGCAGGTGTTATAGAGGAGGAAAGAATCCAGCAGTTTGTGTATCAGGTTGTAAACATGTTTGTTTCTGCTGTTTTAACATGTGACTCGCCGCAGCCTCTGCTGGACACTCGTGGAACTGCAGGTTTTGGTGCTTCAGCTGCATGAAGCTCAGTGCTAGAAAGATAAACAGTCCTGCAGCTCAAGCGTGAAACATTCACCTCTGACAGCAGAGCAAAGGCGCCGTCACTGTGAAGCTCGCCTCCTCATTTCCTGTCACGTGTCTGCTGCTCCAGCGACGGATGTTCGCCCTGAACCCAGTCTCTAATAATGAGGTCAGTGTGTGTTTATCACCCTCGCCGCTGCGTCCGGCGTCTGCTGATCGCCACAGTCCCGTGTAGCATGGTGTTCTCCACCTGAGGCAGGACTCTGATGTACAGACGATGTCTGCACATTGTCTTTCTCATGAGAGGAGGCGTTCCCTTCAGAAAAGGCCCACAGTAAAAGTCCACTGTGACCTTTACAGGTGTTTATCACATAAATGTGCCCTTGGGGCTGATAATGTAAAGGGTCCATATTTCCACCATTTCTCTCACTCAGTATCAGCAGAAATGTAAAGCCAGGATCATCAGAGCCGGAAAAGGTTGGATTGGTGCTTTCTTATCCGATAAGGAGCGATATCTGGAGATTGAAGCTCTGGAAAGCTCAGTCTTAGAAATCTTGGTTTTGTTGAAGTTTCTCTAAGTGTTCGGTGCATCTAAGCTAAGTTAAAGCACAGGTTTCACTCTGTGGCTGCTGCAGCAAGAAGCACTGAAGCTTTGGCTCGTCCACAGTCGAGCGCCGTGCATGATCGACATGTGCATGCGTGGATAGCAGAGGCTCAGAGCGCTCCGTTTTCAGAGTCTGGGGTTTTGATGTTAAACATCGAGCCGTTTATTTGTAGCTCGATGTTCTGACAGAAGAGCTGCAGTTCTGTGAGGAGTCCTGGTGTACAGTTGAAAGTGGGAGCTCGTGGCAGTTTGTGTTCTTCGTGGCTCTGCTGGAGGAGCCGCATACCTTCGTTCTGTACAATAGGAGCCGAAGCACACAATGTATGAAGTCTAAAGGCTCCATCTGAGCTGGAAGGGGCCATAAAGTACATGACAGATGAGGAATGCTGCCCCCAAAGAGTTAGAGAGAGACCCTGAGGAGCTGACCCCTCCCACACACACACACACACACACACACACACACACACACACACACACACACACACACACACACACTCTTTGGGAGTGAACAATCCCCTCTTGCAATGCGCTCCTTAATCTGCAGCCACCAGACACAACTTTGATGTGAAGCCCCCCCCTCTTGTCCCTTTCGCTGGGCCCCTCACGCTGCCCTCCGTCCTTCCTCAGCTCCTCGGATTCTTTCTCACTTCCCTCTGTTTCTGTTTCTCGGAGCTCAAACACACGGCCTGGAAAACGTTAAAGATATGCAGCGAGGGCGAAGCAGGAAGGGAGCTAACGCAGCCGTGGTTACGTGTAGTTTTAGACGGAGAATCGGTCAGCAGGTGCAGAAACGTTACCGCCTCCAGTGTTAACCAGGAGTGGTCTGTTCTCCCACAGACAGCATGAACGATGCCTTACACCTGCTTCAACATCCACCAGGGGGCGAAACCTGGTGGATGAAAGTGGTCCCAGCTCCATCCA